CAACAGTACCTCTGTAATTTAGATAACTGAGATGCTGATCCCAACTAATAAGGCTGAGAGAGTTGGGCTTGTTCAGCCTGGGGAAGAGAAGGCTGCGGGGAGTCCTTATAGCACCTTCCAGTGCCTGAAGGGGCTACAAGAAAAAATGAGGACAAACCTTTTAGCAGGGCCTGTTGGAGTAGGACAAGGGATAATGGTTTTAAACTGAAAGAGGGGAGATTTAGGCCGGACATAAGGAAGAAATTTTTTATGCTGAGGCTGGTGAAACACTGGCCCATGTTGCCCAGAGAGGTGGGAGATGCCCCATCCCTGGAAACTTTCAAGGGATGTTTGAATGTTTCCATTCAGATGGAATGAGCACCCTGATCTAGTTGAAGACATCCCTGCTTACTGCAGGGGGTTTAGGCTGGAAGACCTTTAAGGGTCCCTTCCAACCCAAATGATTCTGTAAGTATTTTGGATATGTAAGTGTTCAACCTAGTGTGAACCCTGCTAAATATGTGGTCTATGTTATGTGACCTCTGTTATTCACTCCGTAGTTAACGTGCGTTACAAGAAATACCCATATATTCTGAGACTCCTGCCCATCAGGTCGTTGTCTTCTCTTTGCATTACCAGGACTTAATAGCAGCTCCCAAGTTCCTTCCTGCTAGTCCCATAGCCAGGATTTTAAGCATCAAGCTTAAAAATCTGGCTCTTTGGAATAAAGCGAGTACAAGAACAGTGGGGGGGGACGACTCCTTGGTCTGTGGCTCAGCTCCCAAGTGGAGCTGACTCAAAAATGTGCCCTCCTCCGGAGCAGGCTCAAGGGTTTGACCTGGCTTGAGCAAAGCCACTGCTTTTAGCTGCATCAGAAACGCGGGTTTTGCGCACAGGAAAATTCCCTCCACACGACAGTGTTTGCAGTTCACTCTCGCTTCCGTCTGGTGGATGAATTTCCACGTGCTCGTGTTGCGTGATCCAGCTAACAAACAGCATTTTATTAAGTTGCTGTTAAGTCGGCCGCTGCGAACTTAACCTGAATTTATTCCCTTTTTTTATTTGGAGTTTTACAAATCTGTCCCAAGGACTCATTTGTTTTAGGAAGGTAATTCTGCAGTTGGCTGACTTCATTTAATTGGTCGTTAAAGTGGGTGGGGGAGGCTCCGCGTTTGCAGGGGGAATAGGCTGATGGTAGAAAATGTTCTTCGTGGGTCGGAACGTGTCAATTCCTCAGTGCCTCTACACACTGAAAATGAACTGAATGCTTTTTAAGGTTAGGCACCATAAGCTGAAACATGAAGGGAAGAGAAATAGAGACTATTGTACCCTTGTTTACCGTCCCGCTCTGGTTTCCCACTGCCCTGTTCACTCCAGGGACGGGCAATGAGCTGAATAGGCTGATGGTAGAAAATGTTCTTCGTGGATCGGAATGTGTCAGTTCCTCAGTGCCTCTACACACTGAAAATGAACTGAATGCTTTTTAAGGTTAGGCACCATAAGCTGAAACATGAAGGGAAGAGAAATAGAGACTATTGTACCCTTGTTTACCGTCCCGCTCTGGTTTCCTATTGCCCTCTTCGTTCCGGGGACGGGTGATGAGCCGGCACCGAAGGGTTATTTCTGGCCCTGTCCTGGAGTCCTGTGCTCCCTCCACAGCTCCCCACTTACCTCATTAAGAAGCAATGAGGTTTTTCAGTTTCATGGTACTTGTTTTCCTCGTGTAATGGTTTAGTACTAATTTAGTTTTTAGAGATTGCAGTCAATTGTGCATTTTCGGCTGGATGTTTGTTGCCTTTCTAACAACTTAGTTCCTAATCGGCGACAGTGCAAGATACTTACGTCTTGGTGAGTTAATGAATATTGTAAATGCTTTGTTGCTGAATGCCTGATGGCCCCCTTGAGCACAATACTGTGCTGTGCTTAGCATTTTTGATACCCGTTTTACCTGAAAAATCAACCTATGCGAAGGTAACAGTCCTGCTCTGCCAAACATTTTTTCCCTGAGTTCATGGTACTTATGTGTGTGACTTTTTTCCATTCGTAGTTCTTCTTGATTTAGGCAGCAGAGGCCTATTTCTGTCCTCAGCGTTATATAACGTGGCCTCTCTCCTCTCCTGCTTTTATCTCTTTTGACATTATCTCCCACCTTCTCTCCTTGCTTCACATTTGATGTTTTTATTCGCGGTCAAGCAGCTTTTCGCACAAGTGTCTAGTGGGTTTGCCTTGCTCCTTTTCCAAGAAGTGCTCTGATGAACTGAGCCACTTAAAAAAACATGGTAATTCAGAGAAGGGACCTCCCTCAAGTATCTACCTTGACCCCTGCAAAGCAGGAGAGCGTGTGAGAAGTGCTACTAGGAAATACTGTACTGCAGAGCATCAGGTAACTCACATAGGTGATTTTTAAGGGCTTCCCTTGTTTTATATGTCTCTTTGGGTAATGAGCCTGTGAGCACAGTGGTCCTCCACCAGCCTGGTGCTCGACTGCTCACACAGATCATCTCGGGATCCTTCTCTTAGCCTGGCTGGTGTTACCGGAGGGCAAGGAGCAGAAAAGAGCTGCTGGCAGATGTGCCGGGGGCTCAGCTGAACTCTGTTACCTTCATCTCCCGATCCTTTGCTGGCTTAGCAAAATCAGTGCATGGGCTGAAGCTGGGATGTTAATTAGAAAACCAGTTTTTGTTCGTTAGGTGTCTGAACTCCAGAAAAGGCTTTGGGGAACTGCACTGCGAGCAGGTCTGCAGAATGTCTCCTGGGGTTGGTGCAGCTCCTGAGGGACGTGCTGCTTCTGTTCTGAAACTGGGACACTTGCTTTCTCCCTTCCCAAGGAAATCTACTTTAAGGAAGACCTTTTTTTAAAGCTGTCTTCCCTTCAGCTCAGGAGCCGGGTGCATCTGCAGTTAATCCACCTGAGAGTTGGTTTCTTCTGCTGACTGTGAAGGCGCAACAGTAGTTTCTGACCACTTGAACCCACTTCCCTCTTACTGATTTTGGTGATTCTTTTTTCTTTACCAAAATTTTCATGCGTATTTCTCACTGAGATTGAGCAGGAACTTTCTCAGAGCAATTAGATGAGACAAAGCCCTGAGCATTTCCATGTTCTGTATGGATGAAGTGCTGACAGCGTGTGTAAGTAACCATGGCCTGGTGTTTTCACCTTCCCTTCTGCTTATTTTGTTCTGATGAAAGTACATTTTCCATTATTGTGTGGAAATTCAGCGATCGGCTCAGTTGTGGGAAGGATGAGAAGAGTAACCGCAGCCAGAGGGAGAGAAGTTTTTCATGGCTTGTTACCACGTTCTGTGGTTTGGCTGCTTTGAGGAAGCCATGGCCACCTCCTTGCATTACGGGGTGGCCCGACTTAGCTAAGTCTGAGCCACCAACCCACCAAATGGGGCAGGTTCCCGGCAAAGTCCTCGTCTTTTTCCTGCTGCAGTCATGCTGCCTTGCATCAGTGCCTATGGAACCACTTCTTGTCGCTTCATGTGACAAAGGGTGACAAGTTTGCCTGGACAGGCTCTGCAGCTATAACGTGTCCTGTTAGGACAGGCGGTTGTTGGGCTCAAACGGTGCTTTTTTTGGAGGGGTGAAAGTGCTCTGAGTAGGAAGATGAATAGGACTTGACATCATCGTTTATTCTGGTTTTGCCTGTTGATGCCTGTCCTAGATAGTCCCGTGTCCTTGGTGGATCAAGAGGAGTCCCAGCCAGCCCATGGGTCTCTTCCAGCCTAAATTTTTCTATGATGCTGTAAGTGGATGTGGAAAAGATGTGTTAGCCCTTTGTTCTCCGCATCTGTGTCACCCCTGAAAGGCAACTCAAAGCAGTGATTTCACCTATATATTTAGTCATCGTATATTCCCCTGGGTCTCCTGCCAGCAGCAGGATCCGTGCCTATGGTGTAAGACCTTAGTAAAGAATTGTTGCTTTGCAATTTACCCGCAGTGAGATTTCTGTAGCGCATCGTTCCCTGACAGTTACTCAGGGAGGGCGTTTCTTCTCAGCCGAATTGGTGAAGCAGGTACTAATCCAGCCCTACGCCTTGTAGGTGTGGGGCTGTCTTCCTGGCAGGAGATGCCACGGCTGGAGAAGCAGGGTTGTGCTTTGAGCACTTCACATCC